TGCAAAGCAAGGGGAGTATGATCATGACGGGGAGAGTATGAGGATGGTCGTGATGCTCAGGAGGACGCGAGGGCCCACAGAGGCCGAAAACGGCCAAAAACTTGCCGTCGCGATTTCGTCGCAGCGCGAGGGGGTCTGGGTCTCAGGCATGGGCAGGCCACCGCGGCCCACCCTCCCTCGCAGAAGAGATACCCCGAGAGGCCATGTCCGCCCGCGAGCGCGAGAGAGGCTGCGCGGGCAGGCGGGGGGGGCACGGCTAAGGACCGTCGGCAGGTGCCCCTCGCACCGTCGCGCACGGCGAGCCGATTGCCACGCGCTTGCCCATGCAGACAGGCCGTTGCGGTGGACTGCTGGCGTTGTGCTTTGCGTACACGTCTTGCGGAGGCTGCACCGGCGCTCGCAGCAGCAAGGCGACCACGGGGCCCGGAAGAGTGGAGGCTCGTGGTGAAACATGGGAGGGGTTTGAAGGCCCCCCTTGAGGAATGAGACCCGGACGTGCTCGCGTCGTAAAAAAACACGACGGCCGATGTTTGACTGCTTTCGGCCTCTGGGGGCCCTCGCCGGGCCCCTGGGACCGTCAACTAAATGACTCGGGATGAAAAGCTGGCCCTGGGGAAAGGGCCAGAATTTGCGGGGGCCCCGCGTTGAAAAGATCAAGGCGTCGCATGTCTGGGGGGAGCACGTCAACGAGAGAGCGCCCCTCTTGGCGTTGGCCAGCTGCCCCCTTCCAGGGTGAGGCATCAGTGGGCCGTCCACGCATGGCACCTGGAAGTCTTCGCGCCCGCTGCCCGGGGCAAGCTGGACCTTGCTCCACAGCGCCCCTCCTCCGCCGCTCCCGTAGCCGCCTGCTCAAGCCTCTGGCCCACGCGACCCGGCCCCATGGTGGGAGCCCGCCTGCTTCCACGCGGCCTCCCTCCACGGCCAGGGGGCCACCTGCGCACCCTGCCCCTAGCCCCCCACGAGTTCTGAGGGGGAGGGTGGGGGTTCACTTCGCTCGCCCTCGCCCCCGAGCGAAGCGAGCCCCACCCTCCCCCTCGGAAAGCGCGGGGGGCCAGGGGGCAGGGCTCGCAGAGGTGGCCCCCTCACGGCCGCCCCCTGCGGGCAGATCGGGCGCCGCCGGGGCCGGAGGCGGCGCGGCGACTCCGCCGCGAGGGCCAGCGGCGCAGGCCGGCCCGAAGAAGGCCCGCGAGGTCGCGGGCGACGAGGCGGACCCGCGCACGCTGGCGGTGCAGTCGCGCGCGCCGGTGGGGCTGCTGCAGCTGCCCAGGTCTGCGCCACGAAAGGAGCTACGCGAGGAGAGCCTGGCGCCGCCGCGAGGAGAGCCTGGCGCCGCCATTTTCCGCAACACCGGCGTCGTCGCTCAGCTTTTCGGGCCCCGGGACCCTCACGGGTCGACCCGGCTCGAAAGACGACGCAGAAGGATGGGGTCCAGGACTCAGGTCGCGTTTCTTGTTCTCCGATGAAGCTATGTTTCTGCAGCGGCGGATCTCAGGGTGTACACAGACACTCTCCAATGGATTGCTCCTGGGCCTCTGGGGAGGGAGGCAGTGTGTAACTCACCATCTGGAGCCAGCGACTTTGTACACTGATGCGAAGTTCGTCGGAGAGTGTCTGTGTGTATATATAGATGTGTATATATGTATATACGTATTCGTGGCTGAAGGTCCCGCGGGGAGAGGCTCCGGCATCTGGAGATCCTCGACAAAGTGCCGTTCGACTTGGTGGCCGCGTACGAGGAGCGAAGGGCGGTGCCGAGGGTGCAGCAGCAGGTCCTGCCTGGCTCGTTCGGCAAGATCATCCGGCGCCACCGCAAGAACAGCGCCACGGTGCTCCTGGACACGATGCTCCTGGCGTGCGTGCAGCACAGGTTCGAGCCCATTCGAAGAAGAACAACGCCATAAACATAGGCTTTGGGCGCTCCGCGCGGATCTCTTGGATCTGCGCTGGGGGCCCCCCGGCGGCGTCTCAGGCGCCGCCCCTGGCGCGCTCCGCGCGCCAGGGAGGGGGGTCCGGCGCAGATCCAAGAAATCCGCGCGGAGCGCCAAAAGTTTATTTGTATGGCGTTTTTCCTTCTTCCACCCATGCTCTGGGACACCATCGCCCTTGGCCTCTTCGAGGAGATGCCCAGGATGGGGCCGGCGGACCTGGGGATCGCGCTCGCGTGCCTCGTCAAGGCGGACTACCGCCGCGACGCCCAGCTACCCTCCCGCCTGGTGCAGCTGCTGGCCCGCGCTGCCGCGCAGCCGGGCGCCAGGACGCCGAGGTCTGCCGCGGCAGCCGTCGCTGCTGGCCCGCAGGCGCCCGTGGACGGCGGCGGCGGCCGCAAGCATCAGCGGGCCCGGCCGGCGCCCAAGGCGACGGCGCGCCGGAGGCCGAGCGCTCGGGATGCGTTCCCGGAGCACGCGCTGGCGGCAGGGCTCGGCGCGGTGCAGCACTATTCGGGGGGGGAAACCCAGACCCCCGACGTCGTAATTTTGTTCACAACGTCGACCCCCAGAGGTCTGGATCGGGGGTAGACAGACCTCCTAATTACCATGACACGTCGATTAGCGAATTGGCCGTTTTCGGTTCGCGAGAGGGCGTCGCGGCCGCTCTTTTTGCGGGTCCAGGTCCGTCGATTTCGGTCCTAGGCTGTTTTCACTAAACGGAGGTTTGTTGAAGGGAGGTCTGTCCACCGCCGACTGGACCCCTTCCTCGGGACCGGCTTTTTATCCCGAATCGTTTTTTGACGGTCCCGAGGTCCAGTAAGGGCTCCTGGAGGTCGAAAACAGCGAAAAAACTCCCGTCGTGATTTTGTCACAACGCAAGGGGGTCTGGGAAAGCGGCACATCAGCATGCAGCCAAGACGCTGAGGTAAGGGCCACTTCTCGGTGCAGGCAGGGCTGCGGCTTTCGGGCCACAGTCAATCCGCATAGCAAGCATGGGCAACTGTCCCAAGGGAAGTTGCCCGTGCATCCTTGCCTCCGCGGTCCATCTACTTCGCCGCGTTCGTTGACCGCGCCCCGCTCGAAAATCTTCGAGATGGGCGTCCAAGGCCCTTGCATCCTTATCGCGCATCCTCACGATACGGGGTGACTGTAAATTTGATTTGATCGGGGTACATTGGCCGAATCTCGCAGTGGCCATAACGGCCATGCGTTCCTACTTTGGCTCTCGTTCCACCAGCACGATGGCTGCAGGCTTTCGGGGAGGTCCGCGCAGGTTTCTCGGATCGGCGCTGGACCCCCTCTCCTTGGCGCGCTCCACGCGCCAGGGGCGGCGCCAGAGGCGCCGCCAGAGGTGGTCCGGCGTCGACCCGAGAGTTCCGCGCGGACCTCCGAAAGTCTGTGCTTGCGCCGCCTCCTCTCCTCCGGGCCATGGGCTGGGGCGGGCCTGCGCGGACGACCTGGCGAAGCTGTGCGCCGGCGCGCTGAGGAGGCGGTCGACGCTCTCCAGCAAGCTGCTGAGCCGCGTCGTCCGCCATGCGGGGGCGCTGGCCGCCGAGCTTCGGGATGCGCAGCCCAGCGGCCCCCAGGGGGGCTCCGCGGCGAGGCTGCTGCACGGTCTTCGGCCGGAGCTCCTGCAGCGGCTGGCCCACGACGGCCCGGTGCCCGACGACGAGCAGGCCTTCGAGGGCGGGGACCTGTGCCTCCTCGCACACGCGTACTCGCAGGCTGCGCAGCTGGGCCAGCCCGACCTGGCACTCTTCAGGGCCCTGCACGCGCGCCTGGACGACGTGGCGCTGCTCTCCCTCGGAGCCGGAGAGCTGTCGGGGCTGGCCGGCTCGTTCTCCAAGCTGTCGCAGGCGGCGGAGCTCGGGTTCCTGAGGCTCTTCAGGCTGGTTGGCACGCAGCTGGCGGAGCTGGGAGAGGCCGCGGGGATGAGGAGCACCTGCGTGGCCCTGAACGCGTTCGCCCAGGCCTCGGTGCTCCACGAGCGGCTGTTCGCCGCGTGCGAGGCGTTCTTGCCGGGGCTGCTGCACGGCCCGGAGTGCGACATGCGGCAGATGGCCATGCTCGCCCATGCGTACGTCCGTGTCGGAAGGGAGCGGAGCAGCCTCTTGCCGCTGATCTGGGGGCGCGCCAGTGGCCTCGCCGCCCGCAGCGACGCGCAGAGCATCTCGCTCATCATCTTCGCGCTGACGAGGGCGGGCGCGCCGACCACGGCGGGCGCGTCAGCGGCACTGCTGGCGGGCGTCTCGGATCGACTGCTGCATCTGCTGCACGAGCCGGCAGTGGTGGAGCCCACCACGGTTGCAGTCATCTCCTATGCCCTCTCGCGTGGCGGCTGCGCGGCGGCAGTCGACCCGGCCCTCTGGCGGCTCCTCGCCATCCGCGCTTCGGAGGGCGTGGGCGCCCTCAGCCTGAGCGAGGCGGCCAACGTAGCGGCGGCGTTCTCGCAGGTCAGTCGCGAGCTCGGCGCCGACCGGGCTGACGCCGACGGGTGCATGTCGAAGAAGAGAAACGGCATGCACATAAACTTTCGGAGGTCCAATCTAAGAAAGCCGCGCGGGCCTCTCCCTCGACCTGCATCTTCCGCACCTTCCGCGCGGCAGGTGCCGCGCCGCGGTGGCGCCGCCGTGGCCGCAGTGGCCGCCGCCGTGGCCGCAGAGGCCGCCGCCGTGGCCGCAGCGGCCGCCGCGTCCGCGGCCGCGGCGGCGGCCCCCGTGGCCACCGCGGCCACGCCGCAGCGGCACTCGCCGCGCGGAGCGTGCGGAAGGTGCACCTCGAGGGCCGAAAGCGTGTGCTCTCCTGCCGTCCTCTCTTCCTCGGGCGTCGGGCTCCTCTTCACCGCGCTGCGGCGCCGCGTGGAGGCGGAGCTGCTCGCCGCGGGGCGGCCCGCCGGCCGCGGGGGCCCCGCCGTGCCGCCGCCGGCGGCCGCGAAGCTGGTGGCCGCCTTCGGCGAGCTCCGCCGCGCCGACGCCGGCGAGGCGGCGCTGCAGCTGGCGCGGCGGTGCCTCGCCGGCGGCGCGCGGCTGGGCGTGGGGCCGCTGCGCGGCGTGGCGGAGGCCCTGGGGCGCCTGCGCGTGCACGACGAGGACCTGCTGCAGGCGCTCACGGCGGCGCAGCGGCCCAGCGCGCGCGCGGCGCGCCCGGGGCGCGGGGGCGGCGGCGCCGAGCGGGCGGGGGGGGGCCCTCCCCCAGACACTTTTTTCCGTCAGCGGCGAGGTGGCGAACTCCGCTCCAGCGAGAAGCTAGAAAGGGGCACTGACTAGCGAACTGGCCAGCGAGCAAAGAGGGGGGGGGGACGGCCGAGAGAAAAAAGGGACGCTCAGAAGTCGAAGAGTTCAACGATGAGCAGCTGGGGGGGGCAGCAGAAGCCAGGCGCGCAGGGCCAGAGCGCGGTGGGCGGCCGTCCTTCCCCAGACACGCACGCCTTGAAAAGGAAATCGGCGGCGATCGATGGGGGAAAGTGAGGAGGAGAAGGCCTTCTCAGAAGGCGGCGGGGTTTATCAAAGGCCTCCGGCCTTTGAGAGGCGTTTTGTGTGTGTGTTCTTCGGGGAAGGCTTAGGAAACTGGGTGCCGGCGGTCAACCGTCAACCTGGTCATCGCCGCTAACCTCGTAGAGCTCCCAGCCAAACTCTTACAGAGTGCGAGTCGGTAAACAGCTCGAGTCGGAAATCGATATGTGTTGAACCAAGGCTTAAAACGAACGCTGTCGACGCTGTCGAATCGGTTACTGTTACCAAGAGCTCTGTAGCTTATTAAATGTTTAGAGCGAGTTGGTCAACCGACGACGTGTTCAACATGATGCCGACAGGGCGTGGATTCCGCCAAGTGCTTAGATAGAAATCCTGCAGCCACACAAGTGAAAACAAGACAGGCGAGCGCCTCATGAGCTGCAGAATCGATTGGTGTAATTCAGAGCCACGCAGCTGTTCTTAATCTTGAGATCGCGTCGGTTTACCAACCGCACGCGAAAACAAATACACACTGCGAGTGTGTTTCGGTCATAGCTCCAGTGTGAGACCGATGTCAGGCTTCTCGAGGCTCTAGACCAATGCTTCAGAGGCTGCTGGGTCGATTGGTGTAAGTAAGAGCTTTGCAGCTGCTCTAAATCTCGAGGTCAACTCCGTAAACGGGTCGCACACGACAGAATAGCATTGTAATTACAGTTCGGACATAAGGCCAGCCTGAGGCCTCGCGAGGCTCCAGACCAATGCTTCCGATGCTGCATCATCAATTGCTGTGACTGAGAGCTCTGTAGCTGCTTTGAATTTCGAGGTCGAGTCAATCAACCAACAGTGTGTCACAAATGGTATGGACACGGCGCTGGTTCCCCCAAGTATTTTGATAGTGCTACTGCAACTACAGACCTAAATTTGAGACAAGCGAGCGCCTCATGTTCCGCTACAGTTGCGAAAAAGATCAACTTTCAAAACGAATTTTGAAATTGATCACAATCGTTGAAAACTCGACCCCAAGTTGTCACATTGTCTCTTCTCGCCGGGTCGGCCAACTAGCTCCACCCTGCGCGGGAATTCCATTAGCTCTGGTTCCCTTAGCTCTACGAGTCGGCGACTACAAGGGTATGGTTACGCCGGGGTGTGGTTTGCGATCGGCACCGTTGGGGCCTCGGGTGCACGACGCTGTCCTCGTCGGGCCTCCTCGGGGCGCGGGAGAACTCTGTCGAGGTCCCGCGCGCAACCCCCCAATGTGCCCCCCAGGATGTTCCCCAGGGTGCCGGTTGCAAACCATCTGGACAACCCGGTGCCTGGAATGACAAACGAGCGTGGTGTCCACGCTGATGCATATGGACTAGATGATGCTTCGGATGATGCCACAGTGGAATCAATCATTCCAGATGGTATTTCATCCGATGTTGAGTCCGAATCAACTTCGAGTTCCAGTTCAAATGCACGTACTTCTCTCGACGCGTTGAGATTGGCTTTAGCACGCCAATTGCCAAGGAATATCATTGCAAACATTTGGTCAAGTGCAGGAAGTCGCACAAGCACTGCCGCCGTCTGCGAGGAACCCCCTGACCTGAAGTTTGGGCATCTGTTGCGAGACTGTCCAGGCCGGCGCTTCACAGGGTATCAACGCCATTGTCGGGAGACAGAGACCTTGACATGCACTTGTATGACTCACCAGATGCATTGCTCGCGGAGATGCAGGAGGACCTTGACCAGGCAGTCGTTTTGCATTTCTGTTGAAGTCTCGCTGTCTCGCTTTACAGGTCGTGGCCTGCCAATTCAAGGCCTCCTGTGGAAGCGAGTCCTTGAAAGCAGCCCCAGCGCTTGCAAAGGTCGACATTTGACGCATTTGCCAGGCCATCCAGGGAGCTCCGATTGTTCCTCCAAAAGCCGTGGCCCATTCTATCTATATAAATATGTGTATATATACATATATATATACACATCTCTCTCTTTCTCTCTTCGTTCCCCTGGATACGTCTTTGAGCCGCCGATCCTTCGTCACCCAGACATCCGCCGATATGATTGTTTCAACCCGCGGCCCCAGAGGTCCCGATCCCTTCCCCCGCATTGGTTTTTCGTTCCGGATCCACTTTTGAGTGTCCCCAGGCCCAATGACGGGCCCCGGAGGCCGAAATGCAAGAAAAAACGCCAGATTGAACAAATCATATCCTCGGATCTCTGGGTCTTTGAGCCGCCGATCCTTCGTCACCCCTGGGAAGTCCCAGTACGGCTCAATTAATACGTAGCACCCCGCAGTCGCGGATTAGAGTGACGAGGCGGCGGGGACGTCTGCAGTCTGCGAGGCTCTGAAGACGCCCGCTGCAGGCGCCCAAATTTTGAAATTATGCAACGAGCTCGCTGCAGGCGCCGATTTTTCGTTAAAGCAATGTGGGTGGGTCGCGGGCCGGGTCGCGGGTGGGTCGCTCTCAAGACGCCCAAGAGCCTTCCAAGACAGCCCCAGGAGGCCCCCAAGATGGTCCAAAAGAGCCCCGAGACGATCAAAGATCGCGTGGAGAAGCCCAAGATAAGCCCAAGATGGTCCCAACACGGCCCAAGAGTCCTCCAAGACGCTCCAAGCCTCCAAGAGGCTTCCTAAGAGGGCAGAAAGAGACAATAATTGTTGTTTTGTTTCGATTGTTATTGAAGGTTTTTGGGGTTCTCGCTTTTTTTCGGCTTCCTGACGCTGCAAGACGACCGAAGAGGCCCCTAAGACGGCCCTAAGATGGGCTAGGAGGGCCCCAAGACGGCCCAAGAGGCCTCCAAGACTGCCCAAGACAATTCTAAGGAGGGGCCAGGACGGGGGATCCGACCGTACGTTTCGAGCCCTCGGCCCCAAGAGGCCCCCAGGAGGCCCCCACAAGCCTCTGGGAGGCCCCCAAGGCCCCCAAGATGCCTCCGAGAGGCCCCCAAGAAGCTCCAAAACGGGCCCCAAGAGCCCAACCCCCCCGCGCTCCCGCCGCAGGGAGCGCCTTCGGGACCACGACGCCGTGCTGGCCGCCAGCGCGCGCGACGGCCGTGCGCTTCGCTGGGGCGACGCCGCCCGTCCCCTTGCCCGTCGCCGCCGCCCGTCGCCGCCGCCGCAGCCGCCGCCTTCGTCGTCGCCGTCGTCGTCGTCGTCGTCGTCGTCGTCGTCGTCGTCGTCGTCGCCGCTGCCGCCGCCGCCGCCGCCGTTGCCGTCGCCGTGTCCGTCGCCGTCGCCGTCGCCGCCGTCGTCGCCATCGCCGTCGGCAGCGTCTGTGCCGGCGGCGGCGTCGTAGTCGTCCCCTGTCGGCGTCGTCGTCGCCTGTCGCCGTCGCCCTCGCCGTCGCCGTCGTCGACGTCGTCGTCATCATCGTCGTCGGCGTTCTGCCTGTTCGGTGCCCCGTGACTGGGGGAAGGAATCGGTAAGGAACTGTTTTTGCCTCCAAGTCCAAGGCGGTGTCTCCTGCGCTGGCAACATATGCCTCGTGTGGGGTGCCTCATGGAGCTGCAGGCCGGCCTGGCCAGGTCCGTGGTGACCCAGGAATGGCCGCCAGGAGCACTGGACAGGCGCAACCCCCCCGAAGGGAAGCGGATTGCAGCAGGCACGGAAAAAATAAGGGTGCGGGGGGTGGGAGCGCTAGACCCCGACCCTTGGAACAGGGCGCCTGCGCGCGAGCCGAATCCAGCAAAACGCACGAGGGGCCCGAAAGGGAGACGAACCGAATCCCGCGAACCCGCAGAAGCCCCTTTCCCGAGCGCACAGCCCCCTAAGAAAGGACGCCTTCTGCCTGTTCGGTGCTCCGTGACTGGGGGAAGGAATCGGTAAGGAACAGTTTTTGCCTCCAAGTCCAAGGCGGTGTCTCCTGCGCTGGCAACATATGCCTCGTGTGGGGTGCCTCATGGAGCTGCAGGCCAGCCTGGCCAGGTCCGTGGTGACCCAGGAATGGCCGCCAGGAACACTGGACAGGCGCAGCCCCGAGGAGGCGAGTTTTTTACAAGCTCCCAGTGAGGCGCCTCCACAGAGGCATAGGTGAAACACGCGTATGATGATGAGTGGTGGCTGGGACCGCCACGCCACTCGAAGCTGTAGACACGGCGCGTAACAGCTGATCGCACCGTTCTGAATCTGAGAAACGAGCGTAAAATGCTCGCATGGTTTCAGGGGCCGACCAGCCGCCCTGAGCCTGCACCAACTCTTCCGGCAAGCAGCACACTGTCTTGTACCAGTGAGCACCGCTTTTTCGCAGTGAGTGTGTCCCCACTGCGGCGGTCTGAAAGAACTGCGAAAGATTTCGGCGGAAGGAGTCGCAATTCATGGGGCGGGGCTCCGCCAAATGAGTCGTGCAAAACACGGGCGCATCCGGGTCGGAACCCCAGCGTGAGTCCCGCTGCACTAGACATTCCCGCAGGACGCGGCATGGGCAAAAGCTGGGGGTGTCGACCATCTTTGGGATGTGGCACACCATGCCATGTCCGAAAGGGTCGTTCTTTTGCCGGGCGACAAACATAGACACGAAATTGTCGTGCACAGATATGTCTCGACGCCGGAGCGCGAGAGTCTCGGAACACCTCCGGACGCCGAAGAAAGACACGGCTGCTATAGCGACGTCCCGGACAGCGGCCAGGCTGCCTGCTTTGAGGCGTGCGGTCTGGTAACACCGCAACCCTGAGGGTCGGGTGGCGCAAATTTTGAGCTCAGCTCATAACGTGCCAAAAATGGCTCAAAACATGGTACGTATGCAACAACAACATCTTCACATACCGTACATGCATGTTCTAAAAGCAAAAAACAAAAAATGTGAGGATGTCTCAAGCGAAGGCCGACGCGCGTAGCCAACATGTGAGGACGTCTCAAGCGAAACAACACCCTTAGATTAAGTTTCCTGTGCGTTGTTCGCCATCGATCATTTCATGGTCACCTTGGTCGCTGTCATTCACGTTTTCTTCAGGCTCAAGAGATTCTGGGCTTGGCTGGCGGGCTCGCAGAGGATCCTTGCGTCCCACTCATGCCCCCGAAGGGGTTCCATGACGTTGGCAGCCTGGCGGATGTGATCTTGCCGTGCGCAAGCGAGCCCGACTTCGTCAACTACCACGAAGACGAGGAGAAGCCGATCAACAGGACGAGGGCGATGAAGAACGGCGATATCCTGAAGGCGATCTACGGCTTGGCCCCCACGCTGAACATCCCTGGGGCCGTCATCAAGATGGCCATCACGAAGATAGCCGAGTCCAAGATCGAGGACAGCGAGTGGACTATGAGCAAAGAGGAGAAGAAAGATATGATCAACACCGTGACGAAACGCTTGACGTTGCTCCTGAGGCAGTGCGCCAAGCCTCTTCGCGGTCAGGTCCCGTGGATCGTCAAGTTGTGCACTGACGAGGCCGAGGACGAGGACGAGGCCGAGGACGACCCTCAGGAGGAGGAGGCCCAGGACGAGGAGGCCGAAGCCGAGGAGGGCCCCGAGGCTCAGGAGGACAACGGCGACGCGATGGGCGACGACGCTGAGGAGGCCGAGGGCTCGCAGGAGGCCGAGGGCTCGCAGGAGGCCGAGGCCGAGGGCTCGCAGGAGGCCGAGGCCGAGGGCTCGCAGGAGGCCGAGGCCGAGGGCGAGGAGACCGAGAAGGGCTGCGACATCGGGGCCGAGGTCAAGCAGACCATGGCCAAGAAGACCAAGACGGGCCTCAAGGAGGACAAGAACGCGGCCAACTCGGCCTGGATCCAGGCGCTCGAGAAGAAGGACCGAGGCGGTGAACATTTCATGGGGCCGCTGCGGCTCCTTCCCCTCCCCGGTGGCTCCCCCCCCATCCCCGATGACGGCCCCCCCCATCCCCGATGACAGGTTTCGGGCCCAGCCGATCGACCGCCGAACGAACCGAATGAAATACGACGTGCCATCAGGACATATACGAGTACAAGTGGCACGAGGACGAGAACAAGCTCGCCAGGAGGAAGGTCGGCGCGAAGTCCAAGATCATAGAGTACAGCTGCCAGCCTTTTCGACCAGATGGCGCAGATGATCTGGATCCCGCCGTCGTGACGTTCCCTGACGGGTCGCAGCGCGAGGTGCCGAACGTGTTGCGCGGGTCCCTCGCCGACGACAGCACCGACAAACCGAAGAAGCGGGGGCCCCTATGGGAGGATGGGAGCCTCAGAATCATGAGGAGGAAGGATCGCAACGAGAAGATCCTGCACAATCTGCTGGACACCAACCCAGCCCTGGACACGCCCAACGTGATCATGATCAACAGTGGGTTGTTCCCGACCCCTGAGGAGAGCCTCAACTGGATGATCGACTTGGCGAAGCTGTACAAGTCGGGGAAGACGCGCGAGGACCTGGATCGCGTCAAGGCCACGAAGATCAAGCAACTCACCGAGGCTGGCAAGAAGGAGTGCGCTGTGAGGAAGCGCCCTGCCGCAGCTGCGGCTACCGAGGCCTCAACCCCCATCAAGGCGAACATGAAGAGGCCTGCAGCTGCGACGACTGCCGAGAAGGAGCCGACGAAGGTCCCGAAGACGATCACCGAGCCTCAGTCGAGCAAGTTGGTGGGCCTGCAGTCGAAGCAGGACAGCGAGGATGGAGGGCATGGTTAGAGCATGCAGGAGGATGAGGAGGATCGGAGGAAGCTATGGAGAGGGAGGGACGATCGAGGTTCGTCCTTCTCCTCCTCCTCCTCCTCATCCTCCTCCTCCTCCTCCTCCTCGCACCTCATGCCTCCACCTTTGTCCTCATTGCCCTCCCTCATGTCCCCTGTGGGCGCCTCCTAGGTGGCCGTCTCCCCTGCCCCTCCTCTCCATCATCCCTATCCCTATCAATTTCGGACACCTTCGATTGGTTTCGGATCGCTTCAACGTAGCTTGATCGGAACCCGCCCGAATATCTTTCGAATTCGAAAGGGATTCGGGCGGGTTCCGATCGGCAGCCGATTGATAGTCCTGCCCTCCACCAGCTTGGAAGGGAAGGGGAGGACGTCATGAAGCCGATGCCGCCGCCTGGCGCGTTCTTCTGGCGAGCTGAGGTGGGGGGTCGGGCGGGAAGCGGCAGCATGATCTGATAGCGCGCCATCATGGGGAAGGACGGGGAAGGTATGGAGGGCAGGGGAAAGGGCTGGGAAGCAACGGGGAGAGAGGGGGTGAGGAGTGCGAGGGTAGTGGAGGATGGTGGGCCTGAAGGGGAGACTGGATGAGGATAAGAGGAGTCGCGACCCGAAAATCGGAGGGCAGGGGCTACCTGGGCTGAGCGCCGTGATCGTGGCGCAGCTGCTGGACTGTCCTCTCGCTGCCCGTCAAGGGCCGCTGCGCCCGCCGTGCATTGCGGGGAGGGTCCAGCTAGGGAGTTTAGGGTGGGTCGACCACCGACCCTTCAGCGCGAAGCCAGGCGGTGGGCTGCTTGGCGCACAATGAAAACTTAAGGTCCCCTCTCGACCAGGGCCCCCGAGGGAGCCTCGGGAAATGTTGCATTCTCGGGTGCTCCCCTGGGCTCCCCGGTGAGCCCCCCTAATTCCCTTAATTCCCTCCCTCCCTTCCCTGCTCCCTCCACCCCCTGCTCTCATCCTCTCCCTCGCATGCCGTCTCTCCCCCTCTCCATGTATCTATAGCCGTTGAGGCTGCAATCCGATTCGACTCCAGCGTCTAAGTTCCCCCCTGTATCTCCAACTCCGTGTGCAGATCAGCTTTCGGCCAGACCATCATGGACGGACAGCCGCTGCCCACCTGCTGGAACGAGCACCCTCCCCTCATCGAGGTCAGCGATTCGTCTCCTGAAGGGTTCATGTGGCCTAAATCTTTGGACCCCTGTGCCTGCCCAAGACGCTCTCATACTCTCCCCCGCCTCCTCCTCCCCTCCATCCTCCTCCTCTTCCTCCTCCTCCTCCTCCTTGTGGTTTTCTGTGTTTGGAGTGTTGGCTGCCCCAGGCAGCGTGGCGCCGATGCAGCCAGGATGGCCCGTGCGGCCTCGGCGGAGCCAGATGCAGTGCCCGTGCGCCGCGCGTGCTCAAGCGGGCGCTCATGGGTGCTCCGAGGCGGCATGCCGACCAGCCAGATGCCGAACGGCAGCTCCGAGCCAGTCGAGCGCTTGCCGCACATCGAGGGCCGCGCCTCGGACGACACGCTGCGCATGCGACTCGAGTTGGACGACCGTGCTGCGATGGAGGCTCAGGGTCGCGGGGGCTACTTGGCCGCCCCTCCGCAGGGTCGCGAGGGGACTTCAACCCTCGTGGAACAGGATGGGCCGTATGGGCCGCCAGAGCAGCCCGAGGGGATGCGCCTGATGCCGACGCGCACGGAGGTCGGCTTCGCGGAGCCGCAGCCGAGGCCGCGGCCGACGGCGGGTGGCGGGCCTCGCGCGCCGCAGATGGCTGCAGCCGTCAGGCAGGCGCCCGTGCGGGCCGCGGCCCAGGCGGGCGATGCCAGCGAGACCGAGACCGCCCACTCGCGGAGCCCCCGTCGCTCGCTCCCGCATGGCCCGTCTCGCGGCATGCAGCGTGGCGTGGGCCCCGCGTCGCGCAGCGGCGAGCCCCCGGTGGCAGTAGCCGCGGCGCCAGCATCGCACTCCGAGGACGCCTTCTCGGCGATGTCGCAGCACGTGTTTCAAGATACACGCGACATGCCTCGCGAGTGCCAGAGCCAGCTGCCCGACCGTCAGCCGTCGATCGCCGAGAGCTACCACGATAGTGCGGAGGAGCAGCAGCTTCAAAAGATCGAGAGCCAGCTGTTCGAGCAGCAGTCGCAGACGCCATCGTCTCAGCACCAGGCGAACGCGTTCTTGGTGTTCGCACCTGCGCAAGTGCCGACGCGTGCAGCTGGGGCCCCACACCAGCCGTCTGAAGCTGGGATGGTCACGCCACCGCAGCCGCTTGCAGCTGCGGCGCCAACGGAGCCGTCTGCAGCTGGGATGGTCACGCCACCGCAGCCGCCTGCGTCTGGGATGGTCACGCCACAGCAGCCGCCTGCAGCTGGGATGGTGACGCCACAGGAGCCGCCTGCAGCTGGGATGGTCACGCCACAGCAGCCGCCTGCGTCTGGGATGGTCACGCCACAGCAGCCGCCTGCGTCTGGGATGGTCACGCCACAGGAGCCGCCTGCAGCTGGGATGGTCACGCCACAGGAGCCACCTGCAGCTGGGATGGTCACGCCACAGGAGCCGCCAGCAGCTGGGATGGTCACGCCACAGCAGCCGCCTGAGCAGCTGGTCGCATTCAGCTTCGACGACATCCCCAACGTGCCCGTGGATCAGATGGAGCTGACGCTACAGTACGTGATGGACGTGGAGCTGCCCAAGACGCCCCAGCACTTGAGGCAGCCAGCGGGCGACTTCACGCCTACCAAGGTCAACAAGCCTCGCACTGACGCGGTGCTGGAGGCTGGCCACTGCTCACCCAACCTTCGCGCGTGTTCATAGCTATCCGAAGCGTTGGTCGAGTTGGCGTTGGGGGATGGGTGGCGGAGGCGGTGGGGGGCGAGCAAGAGCATGCAGTTACTCTTACTCACCCCCTGGCGCCTCCTCCTCCATAGACGCCAGCGCTTCGGATAGTTTTGACACGCGCATCGGGTTGAGTGGCCAGCTGCCGAATCAGGAGTGCCACAAGAATGGCTTCAAGGTAAACACTCGCGATGCGATGGGCCAGAGGTGGGCCACCTACCTCGACAATAACCCCGATGAGAAAGCCAAGTACATGGCCGTCAGCAGTCTGCAGATCAAGGATGGGGGCCCCTATGCAATCGTCGTGCCCCCTCTCCTCCCCCTCCTCCTCCTCCGCTCTGCCGTCTAATGCCTCACCCGTCGACCTCCACCTCCTCGCCCTCCTCCTCATCCTCTTCCTCCTCGTCTCTCTCTCTGTCAGTGTCCCCCCTCCTCCTCCTCCCCCTCCTCCTCGATTGCATAAGCAGTTTCCCAGGCTAAAATCAGGGAGGAATGGGCACAGGGAGTATACGAGAAGTACAGCAGATCGAGGATCCACGACAGCAGTCACGAGCAGACGAACCACGAGTGGGGCGTGTTCCTCAACTTCGACTCTCTGGTGCAGAAGGAGGGCGGGCACCACTCCAGGGCCGCCGTCCGCGGTAGCTACAAGTATGCCGTCGCATGTTTGTTCATGGGGTGGTATCGCCTCAGCGAGATGACCGAGCGCATCGAGTATCTCTACGTGCGCCGTGGATATACTGAAAAGTTCACTTCGTGCTGGAGGACTCGGTGTGCAACAAAACCTCACAGTGCCCGCGACCTCCTCCTCCTCCTCTTCCTGCCTTTCATTCTCGAGGATCCTCCTTCGGCCTCCTCCTCTTCATCCTCCTCCAGTGCCTTGGATCCTCCTCCCCCTCGTACTTCTTTATCCTCCTCCTCCTCCTCCTCTTCCTCCTCCTCCTCCTCCTCTTTTGTTTGACGCAGGACGCGCAGGACCGAGCTCGCGATAGTGGGCCAGACGGGCAGGGCCGCGGGTTCCCCCACGGATGCTGCGCTGCAGCGTTCGACGGGGCACGGCGCCCAGCAGCAGCAGCAGCAGCAGCAGCAGCAGCAGCTCGCCCTGCAGCCCGCCCCCAGTGGCGCCCTCGACGAGCCGCTCCAGCTGCCCGCCGCTAGCATGTGTGGGACGCCGCGCACTTCAAGGCCGCCCTCTGGCACCCCCTCGACAAGGACGAGCCCTACGCAGAACGGCAAGGGCGGCAAGGGCAAGAGCCAGAAGGGCAACAAGGGCAAGGGCACCGCCAAGAGCAAGCGAGGAGCGACAGCAACCCCGAAACCTGCGGCTAAGAAAGCCAAGACTCCTCAAGCCATCAAGAGGGAGGCCATCGCCGAGGCCGTCGACTCCACGAACTGGTACAACTCTGTGATTCGCCGCGCCGAGACCGTCCTCGGCCACTTGGCATCCAACCACGCCGACTGGAGCCTCTTCAAGGATTCCGTGGACCACAAGGCGATCCAGACCCAGCTCGAGGCGTGCAAGCAGGCCCCCCTCCAGAATGAGTTCGTGAGCATGTATCTTTTTGATCCCGACGATCTGGAGGGCCAGTGCGCGGACGAGAGCTCCTACATGCGCGATCTCGGCCAGGTGAGTTCAATTTTGAACCCCGCTGCGGACGCCCTTGACGCCGCTGTGAAAGTCATCACGTCAATGAAGGCGGCGAGGGAGCAGCACGCTTCGCGTTAGGTCTCAGAGCCCCCTGCAGCAGGCTACTAGCTGGCAAATGTATATTCTCTCGTGTGTGTTAGGATCCTCTCTCGTGTGTGTTAAGATGGGTTCAGACCCATCGCGCGATTCACGTTGTAAAGGAGGTCGCAGTCGGTATAATTTTGCTTTTCACGCGCGGCAGAGGCTGCGACGACCCCTCGAGGCCCCCGCCAGGTACTTCCAGGGACAGGCGACGATCCCAAACAAGCACGTACCTTGATACATAAACGATCTTCCAGCACGTTCGGCCGCAAAAAAAACAGTTCACGATCGAGCAATGTTCGAGCGATGATTGAGCGATGATCGAGCGATGATCGAGCGATGATCGAGCGATGAACCACCTATCAAACCATATATATATATATACAAAACCAACAGCCACAGAGCGATGATCCAGCGATGATCCAGCGATGATCCAGCGATGAT